ACAGATTCGTAGCCATTTGTTTACCACTGAGGTATCATACGATTGTGACTCATAGATCAATGCTTATTATGAATGGGGTCACATGGTTAGTGGCAGTGCTTTTGATGGCTGCAGCTACAATTTTCATCAGTAGACTTTCTTTCTGCAGAGTTATTGTCATCATAAACAGTTTCTACTGTGATCATGGGCCAATATATGGTTCTGCCTGTAGCAATAATTTCCCAAGTTCTGTGATAGGTAAATTGAACCCAATTATTATTCTCGGGTTTCCAGCATGTTTTATCATCTTTTCATATACATGTATAGCTGTACAATTGTTTCGAATTACAACCCCACAAGACCGTCATAGAGCCACAAAGACATGTACTGCTCATTTATTATTAGTGATTATATTTTATGCTCCAATCACGTTTACATATGCACTTGCACCCATTATAGACACTAACACAAGGATCATTAATCTCTCTCTGACTTCTGCACTTCCTCCATTGCTTAACCCTATAATCTACACAATGAAGACGGAGGAGTTCCTGGTGTCTGTGAAGAGGCTTCTTAAACGGAGAATCATATATCCAAAATAAACCTGTTTTTCTGCATTGTAATCACATTATTAGATGATTTTGTGGTTTTTATTTATTTATTTTCTGTGGATGTTTAGAATAATTTATGCTTCTATAATATCACAGGTTATTAAAAGTCAGACAACAGGTGTCATGACATTATAAACCCACAACAAATTTTGAAACCACCAACAAACTATTGAAGGGTTTGGTGATACCTGTTGATAAATTCCATATCTGACATGGCGACACACGAAACACAAATAAAAGAAGATAGCTGATTGTTTAAACAGCTTGTATGCTAGGCCTATTCATTTCGGTAAAATTGCCCCAAACTATTACTCAATCAATCGGTCTTATAGAGGATTATTTTCTGGAGGATGATGGTGATGACTAGAGCTGGGAATATAATCGTTTTTCCGATGCATGCTAACATAAACAATTCTGCAATGTACACAAAAACAAAAGAATAGACCTATCATACATATTAATATACAGTTTTTTTTTTTTGTAAGCTAAATGAAGAAAGCGCATTATATATTAATAAAAAGTTGTGTATGTCATTGAAAAGCAAAGCACTTGCATATGGTGTTTCGGTTTGTAAGAAAGGAACATTCATGAATGAGAATGGCATTTCTTTTCCTGTGTAGTTCCAGATTTACTCCAAATGTTACAAAATATCCCAGAAAAAGATTAAAGATTTTCTGTTGATCTTTTATATATGCATTAATTTATATTTTAATGACTTTTTCTACTGATATTTCATTATACAACTAACGTTATACAAATCATAACAGTGAACTGACTTGGTAAATCAGGCTGTTATATGTTTCTCCGCATACATTTCAATGTTCCACGCTTGGACATGCACATAATAAATGTATACTAAATCTAATAAATAAAACTCGTTTTACATAACTTTGAAAATGTTCCCATACATCTATCACATATCACTGAAAATGGGAAAATCTCAGCTATAATATGGTATATGTCACATAGTCAAGAAAATTCTGTTTAAAATCTGTTGCGGTTTTAAATATAAGCTTGTTTTTACATTTGAATTTCAAAAACGGCATTACCAGCTTCACTTATTACAAACCAGTTTGACTTGTACAAAAGTTCTTATTGAGAATTAACAGAGGTTTATGTTGATGAAGTCACCATTATGGTGATTAGTGTTTTAGAGAAAACTGGATGATGTTGGCCACTTGTTGATAACAATAATCATGCCTGAATCATAAAATACAGGGTCAAATCTGAGTCTGAATATACCTGTTAATTTCACATTATTAATTATAGTAGCCCTGTGATGTTTTGTGTGTTACAACAATCAGATATTGTGAAAGAGTCTATAACATTATTATGTAGAAAATATTTAGAGCTACTACATTTAGACTTAGCATGTGAATCTCAACAATTGTGACAAACAAAAAGCTTTTGTGACGTACGGTTACGTATGTAACCCTCGTTCCCTGAGTAGGGAACGGAGACGTTCCGTCTTCCTGCCACCTTCCGCTGTACCGCTGGAACAGCTGAATTCAGTCTTGGCTCCTCAGCGAAGAAACATATCTGCATATTGCCGGTGTCCTCCTTTTATATCCACGAGGTAAGGCGGAGATTACTAGTGTTATTAGTGTTTTAATTTAGTTTCGTTTGAAGTCACCGTTATGGTAATTAGTGTTTTAGAGGACCAGATGTCAATTGCAGCATCGGAGGTTGGGTCCGATATCTCTGCGTGTCGTGTCGGAGCCGCTACCTTCTTCGGACCTGGAGATGGACCTGGAGATGATGGTCATGCTTTACCGGGCCGCCAACAGGGTCGGGCTCGTGTGGAACCCTCCACTGTGTCCCGAACCCTCGAGGTTGGATGATTGGTATCTCGGGGTGGCGCATGCTGGTGCTCAGCAACCCACACCAGTGCCCTTCTTTTCGGAAGTGCATGAGGAGCTCACAGGGATCTGGACGGCACTTTTTACTGCCAGAAACTTTTTACTGGTTCCTCACTCAGACACGCGTATCCTGCCGGTGGAACGGGCCGTTGCTATGCAGCTGTGCCCTAATTCCACCTGACATGGAGAACTGTGTCTCTCTTCCCGGGCCTGTAAGTACTCGTCGGACTTAACCGGCTAGGCTTACAAGGCCTGTGGGGAGGCTGCCTCTGCTGTGCACGCCTTGGCGTTGCTGCAGGTCCATCAGGCCAAGGCACTGAAGGAAATGCATGATGGTGGTCATAACCCACTAGTTCTTCAGGAACTTCGGCGTGCGATGGACCTTGCGATTCGTGCGACGAAGGTTACCGCGCTCTCAGTGGGCTGTGCGATGTCCACACTGGTGGTCCAGGAACGCCATCTCTGGCTGACATGCGGGAGACGATAAGCTCCGGTTCCTCAACACCCCGTGTCCCAGACCAGCCTCTTCAGCGATGCTGTCGAAACTTTGCCAAGTAGTTCTCGGCTGTAACGAAGTAAACTCCTCAGTCTACTTGTCGCTGGGGGCGCCCTCCTGCCCCTGCTCCCGCGCCGCAGAATAGCCTCCATCGAAATGGCGCCGTGGAGCCAGTCGCAAGCAGGCCACCCCCGCCCATCCAGGCCCCCGCCAAGAAGGGTGGCAAAGCCAGAAGCAAGCGGCCTCCCAGAGAGAGCCTCACCAGCCAGGTCCCTGTGTTGCACCTCGCTTTGGGAGCCTGGTTAGCGCTCCCCAGTCCACCTCGCTGGCTCATCCTTACCATCAGGCTCAGCTATGCAATTCAGTTTGCCCCGTGTCCCCCCAAGTTTCGGGTCATCCACTCCACTACAGTGAGAGCAGCCGATGCCCATGTCTTGCACGAGGAGATCGCAGTCCTACTGGTGAAGGACTCGATAGAGCCGGTCCCTCCAGCCAATATGAGATCAGGGCATTACAGTCCCTACTTCATTGTACCCAAGAAAGATGGTGGGATACGACCAATCTCGGACCTGCGAGTTTTGAAATAGAGCCTCCCCAAGCTACCGTTCAAAATACCTACACAGAAACGCATTTTCGAATGCAATGCTTTGCAAATATACATTTCCCCTCGTGAGCCTACTTGCACAGACACTGTACAAAGTCAGGGAGGACAAGGAGCAAGTCCTTCTGGTGGCTCCCTACTGGCCCACTCGGACCTGGTTCCCAGAACTCATGCTCCTTGTGACAGTCCCTCCCTGGCCCATTCCTCTGAGGAAGGATCTTCTGACTCAGAGACGGGGCACCCTGTGGCACCCGCGTCCAGACCTCTGGAAACTCCATGTCTGGTCCCTGGACAGGATGCAGAGTTTCTTGGTGACTTACCCCCAGAGGTACTTAATACCATGACTTCAGCATGGGCGCCGTCCATGAGACGTGTCTATGCCCTGAAGTGGAACCTGTTCATCGAGTGGTGTTCTTCTCGCCAGGAGGACCCCCGAAGATGTTCGATAGGGTCTGTGCTTTCCTTCTTGCAGCAAGGGTTGGAGCGAAGACTGTCTCCCTCCACCTCAAAGTTCATGCTGCCGCTATTTCAGCTTATCACAACCCCATAGATGGTAAAACAGTTGGAAAGCACGACCTGGTCGTCAGGTTTCTTAGGGGGGCGAGATGATTAAATCCTCCTTGAACCCCCTCCATACCCTCTTGGGATCTTTCCAGCTTTCTCAGGCTTGGCTCCTCAGCAAAAAACTAGTGTCCAATCGCAACAGCTGCTCATTAAATTCCCGCGCTACGAGGCTGCACAGCTGATGCAAATGATTGCACGCCAATGTGTATTGCCTTGTTTTAGTTTCACTCAATGTAAATTGGCCTCTCTATGAGATTCCTATTGGTCAGTCATGACCTACGTCTCCTGAGGGAGGGAACAAGGGTTACCATATGTAACCCATATGTTACATACGTAACCAAGATATTTTTACATTGAAATTTCTCAAAGAACATGATTTTTTGAGCCGATAACTAAGCAAATATTTGACATGGTCTTACTCAGTCAATATTAAAAAAATCAAGGTTATATTTTCACAGAAGGCTCTTTACATTATGTAAAGAAAAACACTGTTATTTTACAGACAGGCTCCGGCTCTTCTTTTTCCTCTTTCTTTCAGAAATTTTGTATGTGCTTGTAACTTCTATACATTTTTAGGTGAAGGCTTCCCTTCCAGCATCTCTGTGGATTAGTCACTGTTTCTGATGTAACTAATCATTCCAGTTCTCTGTTATGATTGGTCAACTGAAGAGACTGGAGAGGCTTGCCGTTTGTATCTGAGGGTTATATAGTTCAATATGTTTGAGGTCAGGGGAAGTCTCTTTACAGTATACTGTATGTGTGCCTGTTAGCTTTACTGTATTGTGCTGCTCTTCCCCTTTCTGTGAGTATACCATAGTTACTGATCCTGAAATCTTGCATAATATACACAAAATGTTAGTCCAATTAGGCAATTGAAATTTAAAGATCCATGTTAAAATATAAGTGGTTGCTTGAAATATCTTATATGCTTATATCTTTGGTCTTTTTTTGCAGGGATCAAGTTAAGAGTCTTACAAAAATAATGTATTTCTTAAGGTCAAATTGGAGTAAAAATATCTATCTTAGATTCCAGTGTTGTATATTTGTTAGTATAATGAAATTTCTTACAACCCTGAATAATGTACTTTTTTTTGTCCAGACATGATACAGGATCAGTGAGTGAACTGACCATGAATGAAGATTTTGCTGAAAACAGGAATATTTCTATTCCATCTTATTTCTATATCAGAGGTTTTTCTGGGATACCTCACATAAGATACTATTACATATTCCTGTTTTTAGTCTACATCATTACTGTGCTTGGAAACTCCTGCCTCATGTTTGTTATCATTACAGACCGAACTCTTCACACTCCTAAATATATCGCTGTCTTTAATTTATCACTGACAGACATTTTTGAGAGTACAGCTGTAATCCCTCAGATACTGAGCACGTTTTTGTTTGGGAATCAGTTGATCTCGTATGGATTGTGTTTGTGCAATATGTTCACCGTCTTTGTATCTCTGACAACACAGTCACTAAATCTTGCTGTTCTGTCTTTTGACAGATTCGTAGCCATTTGTTTACCACTGAGGTATCATATGATTGTGACTCATAGATCAATGCTTATTATAAGTGGGGTCACATGGTTAGTGTCACTACTCATGATTACTGTTTCTACAATTTTCATCAGTAGACTTTCTTTCTGCAGAGTTATTGTCATCATAAACAGTTTCTACTGTGATCATGGGCCAATATATGGTTCTGCCTGTAGCAATAATTTTCCAAGTTCTGTGATAGGTAAATTGTACTCGTCAGTGATTCTCGGGTTTCCAGCATTTTTTATCATCTTTTCATATACATGTATAGCTGTACAATTGTTTCGAATTACAACCCCACAAGACCGTCATAGAGCCACAAAGACATGTACTGCTCATTTAATATTAGTAGCTATATTCTATGTACCTATCACGTTTACATATGCACTTGCGCCCATTATAGACACTAACACAAGGATCATTAATCTCTCTCTGACTTCTGCACTTCCTCCATTGCTTAACCCTATAATCTACACAATGAAGACGGAGGAGTTCCTGGTGTCTGTGAAGAGGCTTCTTAAACGGAAAATCATATTTCCATCTCAAAAATAAACCTCTTTTTCCGCATTGTAATTACTTTATTAGATGCTTTGGTGTTTATTTTTTTCTTTGGATGTTTAGAATATTTATGCTTCTATAATATCACAGGTTATAAAAAGTCAGAGAACAGGTGTCATGACATTATAAACCCACAACATATTTTGAAACCACCAAAAAACTGTTGATGGGTTTGCTAAACAAAAGAAAACAAAAGAATAGACCTATCATACATATTAATATACAGGATTGTTTTGTAGGCTAAATGAAGAAAGCGCATTATATATTAACAAAAAAGTTGTGTATGTCCTTCGAAAGCAGAGCACTTGCATATGGTGTTTCGGTTTGTAAGAAAGGAACATTCATGAATGAGAATGGCATTTCTTTCCCCGTGTAGTTCCAGATTTACTCCAAATGTTACAGAATATCCCAGAAAAAGATTGAGATTTTCTATTGATGTTTTACTTTATATATGCATTAATTTTAATATTAATGACATTTTCTATTGATATTTCATTATATAAACTAATGTTATACAAATCATAACAGTGATTTGGTAAATCAAGCTGTTACTGTATATTGTATATGTTTACGCTTGCACATGCACCTTGTAATAAATAATTGTATACTAAATCTAACAAATAAAAACTTGTTTTACATACTTTCGAAATGTTCCCATAAATGTATCATATCACTGAAAATGTGAAAATATCAGCTTTAATGCGGTATATGGCGCATAGTCAGGAAAATTATGTTTTTCAATATTCATATACATCAATATTTTTTGGACCAATCACTTTATTTATTACAAATTACAAGCTTGTTATCATTATGGACAGAAATCTTCACACTCTTAAATATTTAGCTGTTTTTCATTTATCACTAACAGATATTTGTGAGAGTTTACGCTGTAATTCCTCAGATACAGGACACTTTTTTTGCCAAATACTTGATTCGGTATGGATTATGCATGTCCAATTTGTTTTCTTACAGTACAGTCACTAACTCTACTATGCTCTCATATGACAGATTCATAGCCATTTGTTTACCACTGAGGTATCATATGATTGTGACTCATAGATCAATGCTTGTTATAATTGGTGCTTCATGGACACTTGCACTGTTGCTAACAATCACTGCAGCAATGTTCATGAGCAGACTTTCTTTCTGCAAACTTATTGTCACTGTTTCTACTGTTATCGTAATGGTAGAATTTAGCGGATAGCTGACCTTGAGTGGACCTGGAGCGGAGACGATACATCAAACTTAACAGAACATCAGGGGAGGCCGAGGTTTTGTTGATTAGATGGAGAAGTTGGATAAATACAACTGAGAACACTATTAGATCAATGAGTTAAAAAAACAAAACAAAACAAACTGTGTATTCACACAATTTCATCTAATCACAATTCATTTACTTCAAGAGACATTAACGACAGAGGGCTACTGTCACGTAACACACATGGGAGACAGTAAAATCCAAGAGCAGTAGTTTTAATAAAAGGGCAATCGAAAATCGTAGTCATCCAGGCAGGGGTCCAAATCCAAATAATCAATCCAAACACAAGAACCTTGGCAGAACAGACATCAGAATTGTGGTGACACAAACCAAGGACTCCGTGACAATGACTGAACAGACAGGGTATAAATAGACAGATACTGGCTCCGGCTCTGGTACAGTCCCTAGAACAGTAACGGCCACAACGACAGACATAAACACAGAAATAGACACTGACTCCGGTGGTTTTGACACTGACACTGATTCCGGCTCTGGAACAGGCACTGGCTCCGGAACAGACACCGGCACTGGCTCTGAAACTTGCAGGCTCTGGAACAGCAGACACCAGCTCTGGAACAGCCACTAGAACAGTAACGGCCACAAGGACAGACACAAAAACAGAAATAGACGCTGACTCCGGCTCTGGAACAGACGCTGGTTCCGGCTCCGGCTCTGGAAAAGACACTGGCTCCGGCTCTGGAACAGACACTGGCTCCGGCTCTGGAACTGGCCCCGGCTCTGGAACTGGCACTGGCTCCGGCTCTGGAACTGGCTCCGGCTCTGGAACTGGCACTGGCTCCGGCTCTGGAACAGACACTGGCCCCGGCTCTGGAACTGGCACTGGCTCCGGCTCTGGAACAGGCACTGGCTCCGGCTCTGGAACAGACACTGGCCCCGGCTCTGGAACTGGCTCCGGTTCTGGAACTAGCACTGGCTCTGGAACTGGCACTGGCTCCGGCTCTGGAACTGGCTCCAGCTCTGGAACTGGCACTGGCCCCGGTTCTGGAACTGGCACTGGCCCCGGTTCTGGAACTGGCACTGGCTCCGGCTCTGGAACAGACACTGGCTCCGGCTCTGGAACAGACACTGGCCCCGGCTCTGGAACTGGCTCCGGCTCTGGAACAGACACTGGCTCCGGCTCTGGAACAGACACTGGCTCCGGCTCTGGAACAGACACTGGCTCCGGAACTGGAACTGGCACTGGCTCCGGCTCTGGAACAGACACTGGCTCCGGCTCTGGAACAGACACTGGCTCCGGCTCTGGAACTGGCACCGGCTCTGGAACAGACACTGGCCCCGGCTCTGGAACTGGCACTGGCTCCGGAACTGGAACTGGCACTGGCTCCGGCTCTGGAACAGACACTGGCTCCGGCTCTGGAACAGACACTGGCTCCGGCTCTGGAACTGGCACTGGCTCCGGCTCTGGAACAGACACTGGCTCCGGCTCTGGAACTGGCACTGGCCCCGGCTCTGGAACTGGCACTGGCTCCGGCTCTGGAACTGGCTCTGGAACTGGCTCTGGAACTGGCACTGGCTCCGGCTCTGGAAAAGACACTGGCCCCGGCTCTGGAACTGGCACTGGCTCTGGTACTGGCACAGGCACTGGCTCCGGCTCTGGAACAGCCACTAGAACAGTAACGGCCACAAAGACAGACACACTGGTTCCGGCTCTGGGACAGCAGACACTGGCTCCGGCTCAGGAGCAACAGACACTGGCTCCGGCCCAGAAACAGCGGAGACTGGCTCTGGCTCAGGAACAGCAGACACGGCATGTCCAGGATCCAAGCCAGATGCTCCAAATAGTCCATAAGTGTCTTGGAGGCCACACAAATGGGCATCTCCTGATCCCTCTCTGACTGGGCAGACGTGGCGTGAACAGTCTCTGCCTGAGTAGACCGGAAGTGAGCAGTCTCTGACTGAGTAAATTGACCCACAACATACAGTTTAAGGCAGTGAAATTACTGTTTGACAGTAATGCAACTTACAATGTGGAGCAATACACAACCAATTCATTAAAATTTGTTTCTGTGGTTATGGGTTTATATCAGTGTATAGCCTACGTAAAAATACATTTCTAAGATTTACTCCTACTCCCTCATCTTCAAGTCTATTGGGAGAAGTGATGATCCATGAAAGTCCCAAGTGCAAGAGAATGATCTACTATATGTCTGATTTGTGGAGTGATAATCATAGTCTGGCAGCTTTGGAGAAGGTAGAGTACAAACCATGTGCTCCGTCTGTTTATAAAAAAAGATTGTGCTGAGGCTAAACAATTTTATTATTATAATATTATTTTCAATGAACATTTAGAACTGTTTATTTATTAATGTACTGTGATTGCGAATTAAGGCATTATTTTAATACTCTCTGTTATGGTGTGCATTTTATAAAAGTTCTCCATTACAGGTCTCAAAAATCCAGACAACAGCTATCATGACTTCCCTTCAGTCAAACTCCTCTGCAAATGTCACCTTTGTTCGTCCTGCAACATTTTTCATCAATGGCTTTTTTAATGTCCCACATGCAAAATACTACTATGTGTTCTTGTCTTTGCTGTATGTTGGGACTGTTTTAGGGAATTCATTTATCATGTGTATCATTTATTTGGCACGCAGACTTCACACAGCCAAATACGTTGCTGTTTTCCATCTGGCCCTTTCCGATCTGTGTGGAAGCTCGGCTTTGATACCAAAAGTCATTGACACATTTTTATTCGAGCACCAGGAGATTTCATATGAAGCGTGTTTGGCATATATGTTTTTCGTGTATCATTTCATGAATCTGCAGTCTTTGACACTACTTGTCTTGTCTTATGACAGACTGGTTGCTATTTGTTTTCCTCTACGATATCATGCCGTTGTAACTAAAACAGCCATGTTTCTGATCATAGGCTTCATGTGGATTTTTTCTGTGACTTTTTTTTCTGTACTTGTAGGTTCTGTGAACCGTCTTTCTTTTTGTGGCTCTAATGTGCTTGATAGTTATTTTTGTGACTATGGCCCGATCTATAGAATAGCCTGTAATGATAATTCTGTAAATGTTTTGTTGGGTAAAATTTGCTATAGTCTCTTGATTTTTGCACCATTGATTTTGATCTTCATCTCATATGTCTGCATTGCTCTAGTTTTGCTTAAGATTCCTCATGGAATTGACCGGGTAAAATCCATAAAAACCTGCACTTCGCATCTCATGTTGGTGGCAATTTTTTATATCCCAATTTTAAGCAATAATATTGCATCTATAATTTCACCTTTGCATCCAGACTCCCGGATAATTAACAATTCTCTTACTCAGACAGTACCACCTATGCTGAATCCCATTATATACACTCTGAAAACAGAAGAGGTCATGCAATCCATAAAAGAAATGTACAAACGAAGCAAGGTGAACACAACAGAGGAAAGAAATATGAAATGCAGTAGGAGGAGAAATTAAAAAGAATAATTATAGTGAGATTAAATTGTGATCATTCAACAAAAATGGATTTTATTTGTAGTTGTAATAGAAATTGTGTTGAAAACAGGCCAAAATTATTCAAAACCAAGAACAGATGCTTTGTGATTTCCTTTAATTAAAAAAAAAACAAACAAAAAAAACAGCACCTTTGCATTTATTGATGTCAGGTTAACGGTAAATCAAAAGAAAAGAACCCAATTAAATTTTCAATGCTGTATTCATTTATGACATGAATGATCATTAGGGGTGTAACAATACCTTCATGTCACGATTCGAAGTCATGATACGATAATATTGCGATACTCCTAGACGTATGGTAAAAGGTTAACCAAAAATGTACTGTTGATTAAAATGCTGAATGTGGGTTTAAATGAATAGGCTTGGACTTGGTGCTTGTAACCCAAGACAATGCTGACACCAGAATAACAATATTCATGATTCTGAATTATTACAGAATTATTTCAGATGAATATGCTTGCACTCTTTCACTGACCAGATATAATCCATCGGATGTGACGTGCATGCGCAGAATCCATATAAGCAATCCATAAACGAGAAATAAAACAAGAACAGGCAAGAACACAGACCTCCAATGTGGTGTAACGAATAACAAGGACTCCGTAACAAACACTTAACAGGCAGGGTATTCATACACACAGAAACTAACAATGGGCCCTATTTTAACGATCTGAAACGCAAGTGTCAAAGCGCTAAGCGCAAGTAAATTTGTGGGCGGATCTCTGTTGCTATTTCCCGGCGGGATATCTAAATCTAAAAGGGGTTGGTCTGAAGTAGCTTCATTATTCATAGGTGTGGTTTGGGCATAATGTGAAATAAACCAATCAGAGCGCCATCCAACATACCCTTTAAGAACAGGTGTGCATGTTGCATGACGGATTGTGCGAGTTTACCAGGCGCGCGCCAGGAGCGTTCACATCCGATGAGACCGACGTTCTTGTCAGGGCAGTGAAAGATAGAGAAGTGACGTTGTATGGGCGTCGGTAAAACATTATATACATATGTTTCTTGCCACTATTGGGAAAACAGGTCTGATTCTTCAGTACTACAATTAGCCTTAAAAAAAATTGGGTAATTCGGTTTTTTCATCTTCATGTAAACCACAATGATTTCTCTCATGTGTTAATATTTTTCCTTGTTATAATTTATAATTTGCAAAAATAAAAACTGCTGCATCTGTGTTGATGAGAGAATCAAAGTGTATGCGCGTTGTGCACCCGCTACATTATGGCCAAGCATGCGCGCTTAAAGGGATAGTTCACTTTGAAATTAATTTTCTATGGTCACCACCTCAAAGAGCATGCACAGAGAAGTCCAAATTAAACATGATTTAATGACTCGTAAACGTAAGTACACATTGATGGCCTAAGACACGAAACGAGCGGTTTGTGTGAGAAAATGATCAGTATTTATATCGTTTTTACCTCGTGTAATCACAGCCATGACAAAATGATCTGACGGCACGGGCGCTTCGGTCTACGCATGCGCTGGAAGTGATCGCTTGCGCGCCTACGTCACTCTTTTGTTTATAATATTGTTTATATTTTGTTTATATTTGTTTATACTTTTGTTTTGTTTTGTTTGTTTATATTTCGGAAGTTTTACCTTTCACTAAACCTATTTAGATGTACGGGAAACCGCAATGGAAGACGATTTCGGTATATCTAAATATGTTTAGTAAAAGGTTAAACTTCCGAAATCTCCGCGTAAATATCGAGTGACGTCACACGCAAGCGATCACTTCCGGCGTAACATTGAACTGATTCAGTTCGGTTCAGTTGGACATTGCACAACTGATTCAGATCACTATGATTACAAGAGGTAAAAACGATATAAATACTGTTCGTTTTCTCACACAAACCGCTCGTTTCGTGTCTTAGGCCATCAATGCGTACTTACATTTACGAGTCATTAAATCATGTTTAATTTGGACTTCTCTGTGCATGCTCTTTGAGGTGGTGACCATAAACCTCCATTATATGACTGAACGGTTTGACCTAAAAATATCAAAATTGAAACTACTGTGGAAACAAAGACACCTACATCTTGGATGCCCTTGAGGTAAGATAAAACATATAAAAAATTAATTTCAAAGTGAACTATCCCTTTAAAAATAGCATTATGAACAACGCGCAACTGACTTTAGACCAGTTTTTTTCTGGTCAGTGGCGCAATTGTTTTCTGGAAGTGTAAAATAGCACCAGGGAATGTTTGCGCCGAAACACGCCTCCTTTCTGCGTCGATCCGCCCAGGGAGCGCAAGTTCATTCCCTAATTTACCGAAGTGCGTCTTTGGAGGAAAAAAGGCCGCTTTGCGCACGTGCAGAATAGGAATGATACATGCGTTTGTGTATAAAGTCAAGATAGAGCCCAATGAGTGCAATGAACAGTGATGAGTGCAGACAAGGATTGTGGGGGATGCAGTTCCTAATGTAAATGACACCGTTGGGAAAGAGGACCTCTAGTGGGCACCAGGGAACGTAAACCAACACTGTGACAAAAACGAGTTGCGGCAGCATGCACACATAGGCAAGGCGGCTCGCGTGCCTATTGGCTGTCCTGCAGCAACTGCACCAGCCTATCAAGAGAGGCCCTTGGTGACGTTAGATCCCCCTACGTCACCTCCCGCCGCAATGCATAATGTTCTATAAATATGGATGTTGGTTGCATGATCCAGGGGATTAAAACACAAAATATATTTCAGGCATAGTGGAGTGGGTAACAATAATAGTAGTGAATGTGTAAAGTTGCATAATTCACCAAGGCCTAACTGTGAGTACATCATATTCATTATTCATTCTTTTTATTTATTATATAAATTGTGAACCTGCTTTCTACCCAGACAGGATGAAAAAAACAAACATTTGAACATGATTCAAGAGGTCACTAGAAACTGGAATATTTCCTTCCCGTCTGCTGGATTCTCTGGTATACCTCACATGAGATATTATCATATATTCCTGTTTATTGCCTACTTTATTTCTTTTCTAGGAAACTCCTGCCTCACGTTAGTTATCAGTAAGGACAGAAATCTTCACAATCTGAAATATATCTCTGTTTTTAATTGATCACTGACAGACATGTGTGAGAATATCGTGATCCTCAGCTTCTGGATGCAGTTTTGTTTGGGGATCGGTTGATCTCGTATGGATTGTGCACGTCCAATATATTATTATTTTGTTTCGTTGCAGTCACTAACTCTCACTGATCTGTGTTTTGACAGATTATCTATTTGTTTTCCAGGTATCATAGATCAATGCTTGTTATGATTGGTGCTTTATGGACATTGGCACTGATGTAAACAATAACTGCGGCAGTTTTCATGACTAGACTTTCTTTCTGCAGAACTAGCATCATAATCTTTCGTTTCTAAGACCACGGGTCTGTTTTCCCAAGTTTTCGAGTGTTCTGTTTCAGGTGATCATCATGTTTCCGGTATTTTGTCTTTTCATATGCATGCATAGCTGTGATATTGTTAATCACAACCCCACAAAGATCCACAAAGAGGGGCTGTATTGTATGTGCCCATCTGCCTAAAATAATGTCTTTCAGGTCCTTGTAAGCATCAACACTACAATAATGAATCTTTCTCTGACCTCTGCACTTCCTCCAATGCTTAACCCTATAATCTACACATTTATGACAAAGGAGTTGAAAAGGCTCATCAGAAATAGAAACATGTTTTCATCTAGAATACCAACTGTGTTCCAGTTATAGTGGAATTCAGTGGACATTTTTTATTAACTATCATTAAAGTACACATGCATAGTATATTACAGAATGTTATGGAATCACTAAATTTGTGTTACTAAAAGAATAAATTGTAAGTGCAGAATATTTATAGACACGCCGTACTGTATTTATTCATTAAAACTGTTTAGGAAGGCTGGTCTATAAAGACAAGGGTTTACTCCATGATAAACTCCATGACAAACACACTGAAATCATTACTTTACTTTAATATAAACTCTTCTTTATCACAGGTAACACAACAATCCAGACAACAGGCAACTCCTCTGCAAATGTCACCTTTGTTCGTCCGGCAACATTTTTCATCAATGGCTTTTTTAATGTCCCACATGCAAAATACTACTATGTGTTCTTGTCTTTGCTGTATGTTGGGACTGTTTTAGGGAATTCATTTATCATGTGTATCATTTATTTGGCACGCAGACTTCACACAGCCAAATACGTTGCTGTTTTCCATCTGGCCCTTTCCGATCTGTGTGGAAGCTCGGCTTTGATACCAAAACTCATTGACATGTTTTTATTCGAGCACCAGGAGATTTCATATGAAGCGTGTTTGGCATATATGTTTTTTGTCTTTCATTTCATGAATCTGCAGTCTTTGACACTACTTGTCTTGGCTTATGACAGACTGGTTGCTATTTGTTTCCCTCTAAAGTACCATGCAGTTATTACCAAAACATCCATGTCACGCATCATTGGCTGGATGTGGATTTCTTCTGTGGCTTTTTTTTCTGTACTTGTGAGTTTAATCAACAGACTCTCTTTTTGTAGAACTAATGAGGTTAATAGTTATTTCTGTGATCACGGTCCTGTTATAAGTATTTCCTGTAATAGTAATTTCATAAATTATCTCTTGGCATATATTTCTTTCGGTCTTCTGATTTGCATGCCGGTGATACTGGTAACCCTCACGTATTGTTGCATTGCTCTGGCTTTGCTTAAGATCGCTCACGGTGCTGATCGCATTAAAGCCATGAAAACCTGCACCTCACATCTCGTGTTAGTGGCCATTTTTTATCTGCCAATTTTAAGTGTAAATGTTAAATCCATGTCAACGTCTATTGATCAAAACTCCCGGATAATTAACAATTCCTTGACACAAATAATACCACCTATGCTGAATCCCATCATATACACTCTGAAGACAGAGGAGGTCATGCAATCCATTAAACAACTGTACAAACGACGCAAAGTGAACTCTATTTCGGAAAGAAATGTGAAACGGAAAAAATAAATACAGGTTCTTGTTGCATTATTATGAATGATTGTATGACAGAAACCTGATACTGTTTCTTACATATAAATATTGGACTAACTATATTATTCAGCTAAAATTGTACATTTAACAAATGTTTTTGGCTGGTTTGATGTTTAGATTTTATAAAACTATTGTACAAATTTCTCAAACAATTGTCACACTGCTCAAATAAAAATAGTTGATCAGAATGCTTGTGGCTCCTTTGTTGTAGGGAAATTTCACTCCAAAATCTGAAGTTGGATTTGTAATTTAGACCGCTGCATCACAGATATTTGTTAGCAAGAACAATAATGAAATCATAAGACATTATATTGAAGCATAAATCATAATTTTATTTTTTTTTTATAGTGCCTTTAAAGGAGCTTCACAAAGTGCTTAACAAGGTAAACATACAAGGAAAATACAAATATGTTTCAAAAATTCTACGAGAGGAGCAGATATGGAAAATGCTCTGTCACCCATTGAACATCCCAGACTTTGTTCAGGAAAATGTGGTGTTAAAAGCTGAGGTAAATACTCCAGAGTCGGTCCATGAAGTGCTTTGTACCGTATGTGAGCATAATAACTTGAAAATCAACTCAGTGCAATGATTTTAAAATGGTAGTGTGATCTCTTGTGTCAGTCCAAGTTAATATTCTAGCTTCAGAACTTTGAACATACTGTGGCTTATTTAGAGTATGCTTTTCAAAATCACTTATATAAAAGAGTAAAGCAGTAGTAAAGCTCAGACACAACATTACGGAAGCAATTGCGAGTTTATTGTGCAATTATTTCTTCCTACAACTCCAAGTTTAGGTATGAACTCAGAATTGTGAGATATAAACTCACAATTGCCTTTATATCAATCTCAACTAGCAGCACATATTGTAACACCAGACAAATCTACAACTAATCTTACTAAAGTGCAGTGCAGTGCTGTTGTATTCCCTCCAAAATGATGTCACTTCCTGCCGGATGACTTCAGTCGGAAACTTTTTTGTTTGTTAAAGATAAACTACAAAACAATAAAGATGCACAAAAAGAAAAGAAAAAAACCCTAAGACCAATTCCATTCAAATATATTTTGAAGGCGAATAAAAGAAACACCAGGAACATTTATTTAATATAATTGTCCAGTTTGTGAGTTAAATGTAGCACCTGAGTCCATTGCAAATTGGCCACACCTTCTCAAACCAAAGTATTAAAAAAACGTGTGAAGTTTTGGTCATTGTAAAATAATTATGCTATGCACATTAAGCTTAGCCTACATTAAAATGTACTTGAAAAAGTCACCTTTCATGAAGTATCTCTGTCTATGCATTCTTGACACAACGCATTTTGTTAAGAAAACGAGATTTTATTGTATTTTAACTGTCTCAGAGGGCAGATTATGTAGCTGACGTCCTTTGCTTCAGGAGCTGCTCTTTTCGAGAGTTCTGGTAGGTGGTCATACACTCCTTAAACTTCTGAACCTCAGTCTGACACTTCCTCCAGTCCTGGTGCTCAGCCATACAGTCCTGCAGAGCGAAGTGCAGCTCAGCACAGCCTGTCCTGGAGATCATGGTATCCACCGGATCATCCTCATCCTCACTCCTGCTCCGGTTGTGAGGGGATGGGGAAGGAGCCGATGCCATACTGTCAGGGAAAAAAAATATCATTTAAAGATGTGTGTTATTTATAGGTCTAAGAAAATGTCGAGTATCGATACGAGTAGGCTATTCGTTTTACTTTCACGCCAAGTGTATAAAAAAACTCTTAAAAGTTTAACTTAATATTTAAATAAACTTGCCTTTGCAGTTTGTAATGATATTTAGAGTTTACTTCAAGAAGGTTTCATAGCTTGTCTAGCCGGACACATTTCATATCACGAACAGGAAATGTGTTACATTTTTAAGAGTCCGGGTAAGAAAATGACAGTACACGTAATTACAATTGTTATCCACTAGATGATGTCAATGTTACATCAGAAAATTGCAATGGGCTGAAAGCGCTTGTTCACGAAATCAAGTCAAAATAGTTTTTCTACAGATTTCTTTCAACTTCCCTTAGAAATTAAAATTATGTCAACATTAACTCATCCTCAAGTTGTTAAAAACCTGTATGAAGTTCTTCTTCTGCTGAACATTAAAGAAGATATTTTGATAACCAGTTGATGGGCATTGACTTCCTAGTATGGGGGAAATATCTCATTTGGTCAACGTCTTCTTTTGTTTACAGCAGAAGAAAGAAATCCATATAGGTTTGGAACAACTTGAAGGTAAGTAAATGTTGTCAGAATTTTCATTTTTAGCATGTGTTATGTTAACTTTCTGAACAAATGCAGGTCAGTGAGCCAACAGTTTTGAAGTAGCCTAGCTGAACATGGCACCAGCTTTGCACTGAAAACCAAGATGCTTTTGATCTTCATCAGTAAGGCTACCAACATACAGGGTAAATAAAGTTTTAAACCGAGCACTTAAAAGAAAGACTTTATGTTAAAAATAAATATAATATAGAATAAAACTCCAGATGAATTACATGGACAATCAAAAGCCACAGTTTTAATCAGATCAACATTGCACTCACATTATTGGCAGCTTTTTCACAGGTTATATTCTTTTTGTGAATATAAAACATTGTTATCACACCCATGCATTCTAAAATTATTTATGAACTTCAAGCATTTGTATTACTTAAAGGATTTTTGAATGCAAAGCGAAAACAAAAACTGACTAGCACAAGGAGGAGAGATGTGCTCTCTTTGACTAATGGTTAATCAAGCAAATTCATTTATTTTTTTATTTTTCATTACATGCAGAGCAAATGTAGAATTGTGAGATTTAAAAAAAAAAACATTTTAAACTACAAAATAATACAATGAACCATAGAAAGCCTCCAAAATAACATTATGCATTGAATCCCAATTATGTTTTACATGAATGTGCATTTTTCAAAGGATGAACAGACAGTCTGCGGGTCAACAAAGAATGAATCCTGCCTCGAATCTCTTTAGTTTTCAATGAGTAAATGATGGGATTCACGCAGGGCGTGATGAGGGACGAAAAAGACAAGCACACCGTTCTTATATTTGGGTTTATAATAATGCCAGAAAATCCAATATTGAAGATAACAACAATTGGGATAAAGAACAAGGCGACTAACACGAGGTGTTCAGTGCACGTGGCCAGCGCCTTATAACGGCTCTGATTATTTTTCATTCTAAATACAGCAATTAATATACCAGTGTAGGTCAAGACAATGAAAATGATTGGTGCAATCGTGAAGAGTATAGTCAGTGCGGTGGCAAAATTCCACTGGTGCGTCGTATTGCTGCAAGCGAGTCTTAAAACAGGAGTATAATCGCAAAAATAGCTGTTGACCCTAAGAGAGCCACAAAATGAGAGGGTTGGGATGGATGCAGTGCTGTAGACTATTGTAGTAAGAACAAAGAGCCAAACTGCACCAATTATGTAAGCCATTCTGGTGTTTGTGTTTATAGATTCATGTCTTAAGGGCAAGCAGATCGCAATGAATCTGTCATAAGAGAGAATGCATATGGACATTGACTCGAGGGATAAAAAGCTATAGTAAGTGTACATTTGCACAAGGCACAGTTTGAATGGCACAAAATTGTCAAGTACAAGAGAAGTCTTTATCGTGCCTGGCACAAGAGAAGTGCTGAGAAGAACATCAACCAAAGCCAGATTGCCAACAGCCATGAACTTTGGGACATGCAGTCGGTGGTCATAGAATATGATGATGATCAGAAAGACATTGCATTTGACTGTGATCACGTAGAGCACAGTGAGAAACATGACATAGATGTTACTGTAAGGCACTAAATTCAAGGCAATAATGTAAAACCCCGCAGGCTGAATGATGGAGTTGTTGGGAGCCGAGTTGGTGGCATTCTGCATGGCCGTCCTTCCTTTAGCTTGACGTGATTTGCTTTCAGTGGATGAGAAACCAGCCAGATTCCTGTGAGAAATAGTCACAAACAATGCACCTTTAATATGTTATTTGGTGATGTAAGCCTTTATCAAATTCAGAAACAAGAATGTTACAATGATTGTCTTACATGCAATGTTGCTGGTTTGTAGATAATGCAGACCGCACTGATGCAGTCTTTTGCCTCAGCTTCACAGTTCGGGATCACTGTGAATCTTGGTAATCTTTTATGGGTAATATATTGTCCAATTTGTCCTCCAGGGATGTCATTAAACAGGAGAGATTCTCGGGTATCTTAAACAGCCTTGAGAGAAAAGACATTCATTAGTGTTTTTTTGCTTCACTAATGTGAGATTATGGTATACTAATGTGGTATAACCAATTAGTTTGTTTTTGCGTTCATTTTTGCAACAACAACTTTTCTATAATGATATCTTTGCATTATCCCACATGATGTGGGATGATGCAAAGATATCATCATAGAAAAGTGTAAAAATTAAAACAAATGTTACATTTAAAGGGAAACCCTGATTTGTAGCTTTGCAATTTATGAAAAATAAACAAACAAAAGCCCCAAAAATGTCTTATATTGTAAGTTTTCAAACCCTCAACTCAGTACAAAGTTGAAGCACTTTTGGCAGGGATTACAGTAATGTGATAAGCTATGCACACCTGGATTTGAGGGGTTTCTCACACTCTTCTTGCAAATCCTCTTCAAATTCAGGTGTGATGACTGTCCATGGACTGCCATTTTCAGACTTGCCACACAGTACATCACCATGCTTTACTGTTGGTATTCGAGCCCGACCGATAAATGATTTTGAAGGCCGATACCGATACGAATATTTTTTGGTTTTAAAATCCGATATTCTGATATATCGACCAATATTATTTTTTATTTATTTATTTTTTTTCAGAAACGCACAACAAAACATTAACAGATTTCTCTAACATTAGTTATTTGTAGTTATTTATGAGTTTTAACTAAAATAATATGATAATACATTTTAAAAAAGAAACTTGTTTCTTTTATTGTCACAACAGAACAGACTGATGATAGTGGCATTAGCTAGCTTTGTGGTTAGCTAGTCTATGATGAGCCATAATTTAGCAATGGATAACGTCATACTGCAAATTGTAAAACATACATTTTCAATATAACAGGCCGAGGAGAGATGATACGTCTCATTGCTATAACTGTCACGCGCTATTAAAGAAATACTTCAGTCATATTGTCAAAAGTTAAAAGGACACTCAGTCAACTACACTGGAATAACGTAACGTAGTTAGCCTATTACTAGCTAATTCCGCTTTACTCTCGGCTTATTTAACATCAGCAAAACTGGACATGATAGTCACAAATTTTGTCCTGCTTATTTGAGTTAAGAGAACTGATGGGGATGTTCTGTATGTCTCGTGACCAACTCAACGAGTGTTGCCAACAGGAACGGTGTAGAGCGCCCTCTGGTGGACAAATTATACAACTCCAACACTCATGACATGGTTCAAGCGTGTTTTGTCCGTTTTTATTTGTGAAATATTCATTTATCGGCCATTATAACTGCCGATACCGATAGTTTGGAAAAATCTTGCTCTAGTTGGTATACCTGTATATGGTATACGTATTTAACTTAGAAAATATTAGACAATCCTACATCCTTCAGGGAAACCAGATGTGAAAGTGATGGAGAAAGACTGAGAAACAGCTTGATTGCTAGAAGTTCTACTTGGAAATCAGTCGTGACTCGTGAAATGTACTTTCTTTTAATATTTCTTTCTTTCAATAATTACATTTAAAGATAGCTGCTGCCATTTTCACCGTGTTTCATTTGAGAATCTCATTGCTTCATGAACAAACATCCAGGTAGACATCTTAAATTGGGGAGTAAAATAGATATAATTTTCACAGTTCTTTATCTCTGCATAATTAAGAAAACTTATAATTTGATAACACATGCTAATCACAATTCATTTTAATCAAAAAGGATTTGAGCTGGCCAGAGGCTATTGGATTGATCAAATGTCTTAACTCAAGGTGTTTCGAGTGGTCACAACCTCTCCAGATAAAATAATGTTCATTTCCAGAATGTTGGTGAGACAAGAAGTTAACATAATGACCACTGTTTGTCTTTACAAATATTACAAAAATGCAGTCAGAAAATATCCTTGCAAAAGCTTCATCTGTGCCACACACTGTATAAAGAAATGACAACCCGAAAGGAGAAATAACTCATTAACAACCCAATGACTCCCAAACAATTGTCTCTAAATAAAGACAACATTGACAAAGTGACTCATTCGCCTGTCTTATTAAGGCAAATCTGAGACAACAAACAAATCAGGTCTAGTATGTGTGAATGATTTCTGTCCTAATTAGCCCCAAGCTGCTCTCATCTCACGAGGGTAAGAGGTAATGACCTTAGTGGAGACACAATGTAAACATGTTTGTCCTCAGAGCGAGCTAATTGATCTTCCTAAACTCAAAGAGACAAAACCCCTGATTATGAACAAGATTTATTGAGTGTACGTTTCCATATGTAACCATATACGTGTTCCATAATGATTATTGAAATATAGAGAGTTGGCTGCAGTGATGCATGGCGAGTGTGTATTAATGAGATGCTGCATCAAATACATCATGTGTATCATCTTCCACCACCTGGATTTTGTTTTGAGAGAAGCTCCAGGTAGATATCAAACTGACAAGAGCCTGTCAAAACCTTCAAATCTATTTTGTTTGAAAGCTGCTTTTGCCATATGATTGCTGATGAAATATTTGTTTTATCAATTTCCATCCACATTCCACTTATATTTCATCATTTTCTGTGGGTTAATGAGCCACCACAGTTTTTCAAGAGTCCCTTCCCTCAAACTCAACATGGATTTTAATGAGTCTCAATCAGATCCTTGGAGCAAAACCCTTTTTAAATAATGTGTCCATGATAATATGTTGACGATTCACCCAATAATTAGTACTTAACGCAGATCATGCTAATGATATAAGTTAACAGATCTACATCACTGCATTTACTAATGCACATTAATTCACACTTTATTATAAAAGCCTTTACATATATTATTGTTTTTATTTATTGAGTTCCACATTTAATTAAAAAATGTATAATGTATTCATTATTATTTGAGGCAAAATCACATTAAATCAATTGCTGTATTTCAGGAGTCCGTGAAAGTTAACTCCTGAAAAAAGTCTATTGAAAATAGTTGCTTGGCCGGCACATATGCTAATGTGCTCCTTGTACATAAAAGATAGTATAGAGTGGTAATGGGTTGTCCCGGCACTATAGAAATGAGTTGACACAAGACCAGAGGAGCACAAAAGCCATTATAAGAGAAAATAGCCTATTTAAACGGGTCTCATCCGTTATCTCTTGCTCTTTTTTTTTGCTGCGGTTGGCATAAATATTTGACTGTTTCCTCAATTTTAGAAAGTCAGTGAATTGGACAAAGTCATTTGGATTTTCACTCACAGGGGGAATGGACTGAGTCAGAGGCCTAATTCTTTACACACAGAGAGTGACTAAGATGCTGAGAGACCGGGGTCTGGAGGTCGTGTGAGATTAATATATGTGTGTGTGTGAAATAAAATCAGGGTGGTAAAGAAGATTCATCTTCTGAATGATGCCGAGGCAGAATCTTTTTTTCATTATTGTAAGACTTGAAATGAAGCCATCAGCACATATATGAACACCTCCAGCTTTCTTGGACAAAATCAGCACCACTAGTTTTGCAATATTCTGAGAACACTTAAAACTCTATTTTCTGAAAATAATCAAATATATATATATATATTTCCTCAAAATTAATGTTTTTCTTAAAATCTTGCCATTATTTTCAAGTTACATTTAAAAAAAATATCTTGCAGAAGCTATACAAAAATTGTCTCAAAATAAAAATAAAAAACACCCATTTACTCAAACCAATAAACACGTCATCAGAGAAGAGATGTCTCTGCAAGAGAGAGGGGAAGATTATTTTAATTAAAGATTACGAGGGCACATTAATTTAAAAAATATGCATGGATAAATAATTGATATTAAATATTGCAATAATAGAATATACAATAATATAAATAGCTACACTGTGTGATTTTTACCCCCATCTAGCGGTGAAAAAGGTATATGACCATCCAGGGAATATTAGTTTCTGTTCCTCTCAATTCCGATTTCGTTTTAACTCCTACGGTGGCCAATGTAGTCCAAGATTAACATGGCTTCCAGTTCGAGCTCGCCCATGAGTGTTAACTCAAACATAAACGCGAAAGGCGAAGCTTGAATTAACGGGTATGTCCCTCTTTGGCTAATGTACTTTCAAGATGGAGGGGCAACATGGCGACCGATAATAGAAGCCCTTACTCGTATGTATTTTCAATGGCATATTATTCACTCACGAAAATACTTTATTACTTAAACGAAGTAAATATACATTAATGAGCACATATATTTTTGAAAGAATTAAGTGTTTTTAGCTAAGGATAAACTAAAAGAGTTACACAGTACGTTTTATCCACTCAAAAAACGTTTTACATAAGCACGTCATAGGAAAAAAAAAAAAAAAAACTGTATGCTACACAAACCTCATTGGCTCACGAATCTATCGTCAATTCGAAGTGAAGGTTGAGAACTAACTAGAAAAGTCTCCATCATTCTGAAAACTAATGCTTAAAATAACTCCAATTCTCTAATATCCGTATTACACAGGATACAGAAACCACTGAAGCATATAAGAGGCAATGAAGTGAACATTAATAACACAAACTTTATATTAAAAAATGTTTCAGGCTAACTGGAAGGAAATGGATTTACACAGGACATTCATTTTCTGTTCAGTACCCACAGGATTTATATCAGGGGTTGTGATGGTGTACGACTGACCTTGTGTTTAAAATCAAACACCCAATCATAAGGAACCTAGTAATTAAACCAGGGTAAATGAAGCAGCTGAGGAGCCAGACCCAGGATTTATAGGACATCCTCCCCCTTATAGTTATGATGACCCTGATGAAATTAATACCAGCTATAATTATGTCAAAGATTTGTCTTCAGCCAATGCCTCTGTTCTTTTATTAGCAGCAAATTATCTCCAACTGTCATCAGTATTGGGGAGAGATAGCCGTAGGTTTAAAGAGAGATTGAGATACTCATAAAAAAGTGTATACACATACAATGTATTGCATTTAAAAGTTTACAGTACAGTTTCTTATACAGTAGAAGAAACTGTCAATCTCTTAAAGGGATAGTTCACTTTGAAATTAATTTTTGATATGTTTTATCTTACCTCAAGGCCATCCAAGATGTAGGTGTCTTTGTTTCCGCAGTGGTTTCAATTTTTATATTTTTAGGTCAAACCGTTCTCTGTCAGTCATATAATGCAGGTCTATGGTCACCACCTCAAAGAGCATGCACAGAGAAGTCCAAATTAAACATGATTTAACGACTCGTAAATGTAAGTACACATTGATGGCCTAAGACACGAAACGAGTGTTTTTTGTGAGAAAACGAACAGTATTTATATCGTTTTTAACTCTTGTAACCACAGCCGCGTCCAATTGATCCGAGGGCGCCGGCGCTTCGCATGTACGCCACTCATGGTTAACACAGAGATTTCGGAAGCGTTACCTTTCACTGTGAAAATCTAAACATATTTAGATACAGGAAATCATAATGGAAGATGATTCTGATATATCAACAGACGTTAATTTTTTTTCTCGAAAACCACGCAAGAGATCACTTCCGGCACTTTCCGGCACTTGCGCAGACCAAAGTGCCCGCGCCCTCAGATCAGTTGGACGTGGCTGTGGTTACAAGAGGTAAAAACTATATAAATACTGTTCGTTTTCTCACACAAACCGCACGTTTTGTGTCTTAAGCCATCAATGTGTACTTACATTTACGAGTCATTAAATCATGTTTAATTTGGACTTCTCAGTGCATGCTCTTTGAGGTGGTGACCATAGACCTGCATTATACGACTGACAGACAAGAACGGGTTGACCTAAAAATGTCAAAAATGAAACTACTGCGGAAGGATAAAAATCCAGAATGTTTCTTGTAAACACAAAATGAGACCCATAAACACAGACACACACACAAAGAGCTTTCATTGAGGATATCTTGAGTTGTATTGAGGATGCAAGTCATTTCTTTATAAAATGGTATTATGTTACTGCTCTATATTGTAATTTCATCACAAGTGTATCTGAGCTGTATCACAGTAATTGAAAGATTTGAAGAAGGTTGTAGAATTGTACATCTTTTGCAGTCAAATCTCCATACACATTAACAAAAAGATTAAACATAGCCAAGAAAAAAAGGACTCATGTCATTGTGTCTCACACTCGACACCAAGAGTGTCTGAAATTGGCACTGTACAGAAGGTTACATGGGGTAAAACATAAATAAATAAAAAATAAGAACAATTCAAGCAGTTCTCCAGGAAGTGCATATACTGTTAGTGCATATACTTTCACCATAATGTACTTAAACATTCTCATACTATGTCACAAAATCTGAACATTTTGCATTTGTACTTCATTAATACCTATAGTTATTTAGTATTATAAGGGACATTATTGTATATTTTGTATGCTGCTTACATTTACTGTTTGATTCAGTAAGTAACTGCATTGAGGGAAGCATTAAGGTTATATCCTGCATTTTTCTATATTATTTGGGATTGTTATTTAAGTCTTAGTATTATTTTTAGAAACTGATAAATGTATTTACAGCTAAACCGCCTGCATTCCATAGCCTCATACAAATGAACACTTCAGCAATGAAATCGCTTAACCTGTTTTCTTTCCTGTCTTTAAAGTTGAAACTAATTTTTCGCTAATGAAAAAAATGCCAATAGGGGTCAGTTTGTCACAGTCTTGAACCATGATTTGCTATTTTCTATGAGATCTATAATATCTAAGAAAGCCATCCATTAGCACTCCCATTCATCTCAATGGTATTTTTAACTAGCAAAAACCCATCCCCTTCTATTGACAGTTACAGGCAGTTTGGGGGGCATTTTCGTTTTCAACAACATAGTATTGGACAATAAATAAATAAATTTGGACACGCCCATGAGTCCAAGATGAGTTATTGAAATTCCAGGTCCATTATTATCATAAAACATGCTGTCTCATTTCAACGCCCTCGAGGGCGCAACATTTAAAACGAGACAGCAATAAAGTTAGTTTATTTGTTTAAAGTTTAATCGGTCAGCTTATTCGAAGCTGACAGACAAAAAGCCACAGTTCCTCCAGTTTCATTGCCATAGTGTGTCAGTAAAGTTCAAGGAAACAGTGTCACGTGGTTCCGCTTAAACGGCAACGTTTGCTAGTCTCGGATCGGAGTCCTGTTCATATCTGTAATGGTACACCTCCATTTGATCCCGGCAGGCCTCTCTAATGTTATTTAGCCACCTCTTAATGCCTCGCCTGTTCAAGTACAACACCATGAGGAACACAACTCCGATGAGGGCTAGCACAATGCCGAGAAGCACATAAGAACCCAAGTCTTGTGGTTTGCATACGTTCACCAGAGGTTTATCCTTCTTCTCTTCGGGTTGCGCACATTTCAGGGTTTCCAAGTCTACGCATTGGTTGCTATTCTTAAGCCAATCATAAAAATCCTTCAGTTTGTCACATTTGCACTCGAACGGGTTCTGTGATAAGTGAACACTTATTTCTTTGAATTCATTCAATTTTTGTAAATCGTGTTTATCCAAGGTGGCGATGGAATTATTTGTCAGTATTAATGTGGTTAAATTGAGGTTACCAAACCCAGAAAGAGGAATTGCTTTCAAACGGTTTCCAGACAGGTCCAGTGTCTGAAGATTAGACAAGCTGTCCGTTGAGAGCGCGCTTCGTAATTGGCGCGCGCCCGAAGCCATTAAGGTGTTCCTGAGGTAAAGATAACGCAGCTGCCCCAACTCATTAAAAGCATCTGGAGTCACAACCATTAAACGGTTGTAACTCAATTCTAAGGAAAGAAGTTCGGGGAGTCCACAAAACGCACAACTTTTAATCTCCTCTATGTTGTTGTCTTCCAATGACAGCGCGAGCAAATCCACACCTGTCCCGTTGGCCGAAAACGCTCTGTCGGTTAAAACGGAGATATTTTTTCCGCTCAAAGTTAAGGTTTGGGTCCTTCTCGGCAGTTCGAGAGGTAGTTTGATCTGTTCCGTGCCCACACAGGTCACGGTTCGGTTCTCACAGTAGCAGGTATCTGGACATTCATAAGCGTCAGCAGACAAAAACAAACACATCAGCCCCAAGGTAAAATGACATCGCTTTGATAGAAGTTGTTTTCGTTTGATTTCCATTTTGTCTGTCATTCCAAAACGGGCAGGTTTAACAGCCGCATAAATTCTCTTCGTAGTTCGGATTCACTTCGCTTCGGGAAACCGTTTCAGCCACCGAGGAAAGCACTCCGCGAGGCCAGAGAGTGTTCAGCCCGGCAGCATGTTCTCTTCCAGCAGCTCCCCCGACGACGCCTACACTACAAATGCGATCAAGTGCTGTCTAACAGCATCCCTGAGGTGAGCAAAACCTCGCCCACTTCCCTCAATGAGAGAGATACACAGAGCCTTGTAGTTTTTCACTTATGACAGAGTGAACACTGAATGAACCTAATGTGAAGACGGTGTCCAAAAGCATTTTAGAGGGGCACCAAACAGGGATGTAAAAATAAAGAAATCGTACTCTTCTAATTTTCTATCAATAGCCTATATTTGGGAGGTATTCACATCTGTAGTTTAGTAGTAGGCCTATTGAAAAGTCATTGTTTTTAGCTTTAGAACTAAAACTTGTACAAAATATATGTGCAAAAAAGGGTTTGAGTATAGTTTTGCTGGTATACACATTTTTTTATTTTCTACTGATATGTGACCCCAACTTTTTTTTGGGATAGAATAAGAAAACAACTATAATAATGACGACAATACATTTAATTTAATAAAGCAAAAAGTAATTCTCACACTCAAAGTACTGTATAAAATAATCTAAAAAAGAGATAAAGTCCAGTCACCTTTTATTATGTAGTACTTTTTACAATCGTGATAGCTTTACAGTGATGAACGGATGAACAGGATTCAATGATACGAACAGAGTTCATTTCGGCAGCTCTAAAAGAAAACAGTGTTCAGCTGAAGTCTGCTCAGTGTAGATTCATTTCTGTTGTAAAGATCATCATTAAAGTAGTTTTGTAATTTCATCTGAAAACAGTGATGTCATCACCCAGCTTAGTTCAGTTCTCATGTGTCAGTACAGTAAATTCAATAATGTTGGAATAATGCACAGGAATAAACTAAATCAATTAAACCTTATGAAAAAATTTCAAAAGATTAAAAAAATAATAATTTCTTGAAACAACTTAAGGTTATTTTAAATCTCATTATGTTTGCTTCCACTTTCTATGTAGATGTCAGGGACATGGAAGGATCCAGACTATTGACTTTGAGCAAACTCTGCCCACAGGTCTTCCATAACAAGAATGCTTCCATCTAGAAAGACGATTCACATGACATAACATCTGAAATAACAAACTGAAAAATTAATGAATGTACAAAACAAAAAAATTCTGCTTTTGAACCCTCTGGCTGTCTCGCCTGCCCGTTGTATTCTAGTCCACAGCCAACAACAAAACATTTCTGCAGGATTGAAAGTGATTTTTTATGCTTAACAACATACCGTGACCACTCCTTTAGGCTATTCATTCATGAATAGTTTTACTAATCCCTATGCATTGATGCATTAACCCTGCTCAGTTTTGCTCATGGACTGCTACGAATCCGAAGTGACTTCTGTGCCAAGTAATATTGACACTTATAACTGGGATCGAGATTTTTATTTTATTTTTGTTATTTATTATATTGAAATTAACCAATAAGTCGAGTTTGATAACATATAGGATTAGTGGGAAAAACAATTGTCTCACTGTGAAGTTTTGTCTCAGCTTTAACACATGAGCACAATACCAATTCGTTTGTAAAGTCATCTTTGATTTTCTGTTCACAGTGTGGCCGCTGCAATCCAATCTAAATGAACCCCAGCTGTCTACAGGGTCTAATGTTACTCCATCTTTATCTGTCTGTGGGGGACAATCTGCTGGCAGGTAAATCCTTTTTCAACCCATTGCAAATTTTGCTGAGTGTCTTAAAATTGGTCTCTGAAGAGTATTTTTGGAGAACATTTTCAACCACAGTGGGTCATTGTTTAATAGTGATGAGGAAATCCAGGTTTGCTATGACATGGTAAAATAGCTTTACTGGCACAATCATACAGACAGTAATAAATAAACATTTAGGTGTTAAGGGGCATAAAAGAAGGATCATTTTGGGGATGAAGCTGAAGCTGCTGGCTCCTGCTAAAGAAGGGATGTGGTCACTGGATAAGTCCCCAAAGGTTACTCGAGTTCAGCACTCAGCATTTAGTCATTTTCTCCAGTCAAGTGGTGCATGTAGCTTTTAACGCTTGGAGATAATTCAATTTTGCGGTATTTTATTACAGAAACCCATCCTCCACCCTTTAGCCACATGAAATGTATTACTGATCTATACTTTAAAATTCCACATTAACTCAGCATTAGATCAACTCTAGACTGAGAAGCATCATCGTAATCATCAAAAATGTATGCATCAGAAGGGCTATAGTCTAAGTGATAGCTGTTATCAAGTGATGCACCATGATTATTTTATTCAGTGGGTACCTGACAAAGTGCTCTAATTGTGCTTGTCAACCTATGGTAAGCCGGTTTGTGGTGTACAACAGATATGAGCTATCATGTTCCAAATGGGCATCTCGGCCGGGTGCATTACTTTATCCTGAGGCTGACTGTCTGGAGTATCACAGTTGGCAAAGTGTCACCATGTCTGTCACTCGTGCTGCTGTAGCCAAAAAGTAAGAGAGATGCTTTATAGCAGATAGGACACCAAATATTATCTGGAATTACTCACCAGTGTTGTAGTCGAGACCACCTCACTCGAGTCCGAGTCGAGACCGAGACCAGAGAGAGTCGAGTCCGAGTCAAGACCGAGTCCATAGAGAGTCGAGTCCGAGTCGAGTCCAAGACCAGAGATGGTCGAGTCCGAGTCGAGACCGAGACCAGTGAGGGTTGATTACCTAATTTACTTTTATTTACTTAGAGAAATCCTTTTTTTATTTTACTGAATTTACTTAGAGTTTAAAAAATATGATCAGTTTAGGGTAAAAAGGCCACATAGTAGGTGGTGTTAAAAGTAATTTTATTACAATTTGTCATGCGCAGTTTTGCACTAGAAAATCACCAATCACTGGGCGTGTCAATCAATTTAAAGAAATGTTTTATTAACATACATTAATAATCATGAAACATATTTTGAATTGAACTCGAGTGGACTCGGGAATGAGTCCGAGTCCTAAAAAAAATTTTTTTTCGAGTACGAGTCAATTCCGAGTCCAAATGCACACGAGTCCATGACAAGACCAAGACCATTAAAATATGGTCTCGAGACCGAGTCCGAGTCTCGAGTACTACAACACTGTTACTCACTATGGAAGTAAAGCATTGTGTAAATCCTAGGACCATTAAGCTTTTGCATAGACAATAGACAATTTGACCCAACAAAACAAAACAAACATTTTCTATATGCACTTGGTCAAAAGTTTGGAATTAAGATTTTGTAATGTTTTTGGGCTTATCAAGGCACTGAAGGCAGCATTTATTTGACCAAAATACATAAATATTGCAACAATCTTAAAGAATATATTTTCTATTTGAATATATTTTTAAAATGTAATGTATTCCTGTGATGACAAAGCTGAATTTTCAGCAGCCATTACTCCAGTCTTCAGTGTCGCATGATCCATTAGATATTTCTATCAATGCTGAAAACAGTTTTTGATTCTTAATATTTTTTGTGGAAAGAATGATTCACTATCATTCAAAAAAAAAAAAAAAAGAATGCTTTTATCCAGCAAAGATGTGATAAATTAATCAAAAATGACAGTACAGAAATGTATAATCTTACAAAAGATTGCTATTTGATTTTTAATGTTACAAAATAATAATAATAATAAATTGAATTTATATAGCACTTTTTTTCAAACTCAGGGCAGGTGAATAAGCACACACACACAAAAAAAAGATTGATATTTCAAATAAATGTTATTATTTTGAATAAAGATATCATTCAAAGAGTCCTGAAAAAAATGCACTAAATCACCATATTAGAATGATTTCTGAAAGACACTTTCACACTGAAGACTGGAGTAATAATGCTGAAAATTCAGCTTTGTCATCACAATTAGAGTTTTAAAAATATATTAAAATAGTAAAAAAAAAATTGTATTTAATATTTCACAATAGTAATCTTTTTCTACTGTGTCTTTGATTAAATTAATGCAGTTTGGTGAGCATAAGAGATTTATTTTTTTTAAATATTAATTATTCTAATCATTTTATAGGTAGCAGAAATAATAAAGCACGCTTTTCTCATTAATTTAATGCAAAAAAAACAACAGCAAAAAAACAACAACAACAACAAATTTGTCCTGAACTTGTGTTTTTCGATTGACGTGTTTTTTACATGCACTCTAGTTCTGTGTAATTGTGTGCGAGTTTGCATCACATGTGCATTGTTTGTAAAGTGCATCAATTATGCATTTGTTCAATGCCTGTCACATTAAAGTGTGTGTATTGGCAGCATGTGAATGGCTTTCTGCCTGATGGATCAGTAGTGACTGTGCCCTCTTTCTGGTTCCTCTAATAGCTCATTCTCCATTCTGCTCACTTCAGATCAACCCGATCTCTCCACAAACACTCAGCATTAACCCTAACCGCACATTTCCGCTAATGTCCAACATCCCTACCCCAGTGTGACTGTTAATTGTCAGAGAACTCCATCAAACCACTGCATACTCAAGTCACTCATGCAACACATTAGAACAATCAAAACCAGACTGTTGCATATACAGTATACAGTGATAGTGATGTTTCCAAATCATTTTGAGATCAATATTGAATATATATTATTTAAGCGGTAAAGGATTTATATATTATGTTAGTAATTTGTTTTAATTTAATATTAAAAGTCAGCATGAAAGTTGTGATGGACTTCTCTTCCCTGTTATGAAATATAATAAGAAATGTAGCATGTATAGCTTGATTTTGTCGATGGGGAATTGATTGGATGTTTGTGGTTTGCTATTGGTTGATCTTATGTGAGTAACAGGTTGTCAGAGAAAAGAAGAGATAACGTTGCAAGAGGGAGGGGAAGTGATTTTGGTTAAACATTATGAGTGCACATGAATTAAAAATAATTATGTGCACGGATAATTCATTTATAATAAATACTGCAATGTTAATGTTGGTGTAGGTAAAATAATTATACTATCATATATTATTTATACAACTATCTTAATTTTAAAATCTAAAAACCAAACATGCTGATGCGTTACAGTAACGAGTGATTGAGAAATATGCGTAATTGTCATGAAAATAATGTTTCAGTGCAATGTGGCCTTTATGCAAAATACAATTTATTTTTTACATTCAGGGGTGCAAT